AAGGCAGGTCAATATCTGGGCAGAAGGCATTTAACATTAAGAAGAGATCATCAAAGAATTCACCAGTTACCATTTATGTATTGTGTTTCTTTTAACGAATGACGTAGGCATTGATTTTGGTCAAAACAATGACGACATAAGATATGCTAAACTTAACAACTATTTTATTCAAACACCATCTTGATAATTTTGCTCCCAGCATTTCCAAATGGAACTGAAAGTACTTACAATCATCATCAACACTGCTATAATCATTTAAGATTGTAATGTTTAGTGGATTCATTGTGTACCTACCAACACTCGAAGAATCTTGGTAGATCATGTTTTTTTGTTGCTGCCTCCAAAAAAATCAAATAGTGTGAATTTGGTCATCAGAAATAATGACCAACACCAGAGTAGGATTAAAGGAATTTTACTTCTTGGTGAATAAATGGAAATCTTAATAAAAGAAACACCAAAGCATTAAAACTTTAGTTGACTTTAGGCAGCCTTTTGGTGTGAGAATATTTAAAACCTGTGTATGTTCTTTAGTTATATTCACATGTGGCAATAATCATTTCAAAGGAGTTCTCACAACTATTAAATCTTAATATTACTTTGGACATTTTGTGACTTTTCAATTTCAAAAAGTTGTCTATAACTGGCTGTTATCAGTAATGGCTGGCTTCCACTCTCTCATACCACCAACTTTGACTGCAACTCTTGGCTACATCTGGTGGTTCGAATCTTAACATTCTCAGAGACAGCTATGAATGACTGGACCTGATTCATTGTATTCAGTCTTCTGCTTTGCTGCTGCTACCTGCAAGAACTGGTTTATATAGAGAGTTGAGCATCACCTTTAACTGTGCAAATGTTCTTGAGATGCAAAATTGCTATCAGTCTGAATTTTTGTTTCCTTTCTCAAACCTGGCTATCTGTCATGCCCATTGAATTCCCAGGAAAAAGAAACAAACAGGTCCAAAACCAATAACACAGTCTATCTTAGAGTTTTAGTAGTGATTCAATTCTCTGTTTTAACTTTCTCTCAGCCAAAGTTGAATCAACACATCCTGATTTCATAAATGTTGAATATAATATATTTTTCAATTTATTGGCCAAGTGTTGCATGGTACATTCCATCCAATAAATCCTTGACAGGTTTGGCTTAACACATTTATTTTTGATCATTTTTTTACCCTTAGGGTCACCTAAAATATACTTCTAGGGAAGTAAATTCATAATTTCAGTTTCAAGCTATTCTGACACCTTTTCTACTCTTTATTTTATGGTTATAATTAATATTTTTGAACTGTTCTTTCTTTATTTTAACCTTCCATTGATTGAGGCTTTAATTAGCACTATTCTTAATCTGATATCTTAATCCTTTCACTGCCAGAAGTCACTGGTTGCATCAATAAAACTTCAAAGAAGGTGATCACCTTGTTACACTAAAGAAAGAAAAAAGAAATAATTTTATTCAATTGCTTACAACTACATCTGCAAATTCCTTATAAAAGTAAAAGAAACAATATCTCAAGAGTAAACGCCTGCAGTAACAATTTGTCATGTCACCTCATTTCAGTTAAAGAAAATTCCCAGCATGAATAGTGTATAAATTTTTTTTTCAATTGCACATATACAGCTATAGATTATACATTTGTCTTTTTTATTTCTCAAAGAATTGTTTTATTCACTTGAACTGTGTGTCTTCAAACAAAAGACTTGATTCCAGAAAAGACTTTGTAAAAAAAAAAATCGTTATTTTCATTAAACTGTATATGCCCACTGCATATATTAATTTTATACTTTGGGTGTTGGTTTAAAAATGATAATTGAAAAAATTCTTAGTTCTTGCCAAAGCATTTCGTCTTCCAACTTTATCAAGGCACAATTTTAAAAATTTGTGCATTTTCCATGCAGCATTTAACTTCTGTAAAAGTGTTTCACTGACGAGCACATTTTCATATTTTCTATGTTTAATTTATATTTAAATATGTCACTCACATTTATTTCAGAGTAGTTTTTTTTTTAATCATTTCACCTCAAGTAATGCAATAAACCCAGTAAGATGCAAAGTGGTACTGAGTGTTAGAGAGTATGTGAAAAAAAGAAAACTACTATTTTCTCCTCAGAGTCAAATGAGATGCAAGTTTTAAAAAGAACAAGAATTAAGATGACAGAAGATAATGATTGACATTATATTTAAATTTTTAAAGATCAAAGTTAACTTGGAAGCTAGAAGCCAGAAGGGTTTCACAAGCGAGAAGTGTGAGAGAAGAAACTGTTAGTATAGAACTTTTGGTTACATCTAGCAGCCATTTTGACTGTCAAATGATGAGACCTTGCCACCAATCTAGTACTTTACTTAAATTCATAAAATTTAGGTACCGTAGAGGAAACTTCATCAGAACAATTATCTTGAAAGTATTTATAGAAAAGGCACAGGGAAACTATGTTACGGTGGTGGAAAAGTGACTGAAGCCAAGATGCCAGGTCAGGACCAATAACATCTCTGATTTTGCTTTGGATTTTATCAAGAATCTCTAAACGTATCGCAGGAGCACCAGCCCAGATGTGACAGCAATATTCAAAGCATGGATGAATGGTAGACTTATAAATTTGTATGATAGATTCTGGAGAGAAAAATTGTTTAGCATGACACAGTGAACCAACTTTCCTAGCAGCAGATTTAGCAATTGATTCAATATAATCTTTCCAATACATGTCAGTGGAAAATGTTAGACGGGGGAGGTGCAATGTGTCACTCTCCTGGAGGTTAGCATCAGCCATGTGGATGAAAAGCGATTTTCCTGCATTTTTTTCCATAGTTTCAATGCTTTCAACAAGCATTGACATCTCTGCAAACATCTCTTCCAATTTCTTGGATTTGTAAAATTGAACAGCTCTGGTGTAGTTAATTTGAACATTTTTTCTTCTTTTTGAATAATTCTTTTTAAATTGTGTACTGTTCTTCTATTAGATAATATTTTCCTCTTTTAGAATGAATTCCTCTCTGATGCCATGTTTCACTGGGCTTAGGGTGGAAGCTAAAATTGTAAGAAAACTGGCTGCTACAAGTGGAAGCAACAGAAAGATTAAATGAGACATAAGATGTGCTAAAGTCAACAACTGTTTTATTTCAAAATCCCACTCCTGTTTTTGCTCCCAGCATTTCCTATTGACACTGGAAGTGTTTACACATTATCATCATCAGTGATTTTACAGAACAGAACAAAAGTGGAAAACAAAATGCATTTCTGAGAAAAAGTTTTATAAGAATGAATATACAAACAATTACATACAATTAACAACAAAATATTTTATTGTTGAGGCAAATTAAATGGAAAGAATATGAAAAGAATGAATGAAGCAGAGTGTGTGTAGAGATGCCCTTTTTCATATTTACATGTGTGTGCAAAGTTCTTATGAAAAATTATGTGAGACTTACATTCGAGAAGAATTCTTACAGAATTATTATATCAGCCTGTGCAGAGACGGATTACGATATTTTGAGGTCCTTAAGCTAATGAAATTATGGGCACCCCTCAAATAGAGCCACCCTCTAAGTTGTCCACACCTGCCTTGAATATTTTTTACTCATGATATACTTTAGTGACATTTACATAACTTGAAGTAAACTTATTGAAAATGCTTTAAACAAACTAGAATAGCTATCTTTTGTTTGTCAATAAAAATATTCTTTAAGAAATACAACTATTTTACTATTTATTGCAAACCAAATTAGCACGTATTTCAACACAAGTAAAGTAAAAGACATTATTTATAACCCGCATTATAACAAAAAAATAATCAAAATAAATATGAGTTTGTTGTATTGATATCATTTCAGTTTATGAAACTATTTAGAAGTTATAACTTCTAGAAAATTAAAATAATTGCTTTATAGAAGCCTGAGAGGGCCGTCAGCTCCAGCCTACACTAGCCTAAAGAATAATCTGGCCATGGGACTGTGTATAGTTAAATAAGTTTAGTATAATGTATTCTATGTACTATTCTGTGTTGTTTTCAATGCAACATAAGGTTTGCTGGTGACCAAATACCCTTAACCCTGAAAGAAAATGAAACATATATTATCTCAGAGGCATCCTGTGGGTAAAAAAACAAAGAGGGTGAAACTTGTTGTCATTAGCAAGACAAGTGAGGTAATCCCACAAGATAATCTATCAGATATATATATATGTGTGTGTGTGTGTGTGTGTGTGTGTATATATATTACATCCTATCAGTTAACAATGACATTTTAATAAACCTAAATGTCAGGAAAATATTTCAAAAAAGTTTAAAGCTAAAGGCCTCAATCAAAATTAGGTTTTCTTAAAATTTATATTTTTGAAAAGGTGGGTCTCTTTAAAGTGAAAATTATCTTTGGATATTTAAAATGTAAATACCTTGTTAACTTTTGAATAGATGCTTTTCTCTATTATTAAAGAAACAGAATTTTTATTAAATCAATGCAGATATTTAATAAAAATGAAATTTTATCAAAGTTATTAATACAAGTACTTAGAAGTGTTGTTGTAAACTTAAGTGCTTGGAGTTTATCTTCATTTAACAGTTTACATTGTTTGTAAAATAAATTCTTCTCTCTTTAAATATCTGTCATTTTAAAGATATTATATTGTGACAAACTACTTTGACCTTGTACATTTAGCCACTTAAAAAAAATAAAAATATATTCTATAGTTTTGTCCACGTTATTTTAGTCCAACGGTCAATTTAAATTAATTAATATAGTTATTTTTATTTAAATTAAGATTTAGTTAATTTTAAATATTTTAAAGAATAAAACACATTCACAGAAGAAAGTTTTAAGAAAAAAATAACTGTAACTGTCTTCCCTCCTTTCAAGGGAGGTAATTACAATCAACCAATTGACGTAAACCCGCCCAACTATTTTCAACCAATCAAAAACGCGTGCCAAATTTTTAAACATTACACACCAAAGAAATTTGTTACGCTGGACACGTTTTTCTGGTTGTGAGTGAATAGTTTTCTTAATGGCTTCCAGTCATATTGGCGCTTACAAGAATCTAAACCGAATTGACCCTAGAGTCAGACGTCGACTTCGTCGCTCAGAGGAATGGCAACATAAGCGCGATGAAGAGGTGAATAAACGTAGGAACATAGAACTAATGAGTCCATGCCGAGAGCTTGATGTCGATCTCTCCATGAATTCATCTGTCTTGGAAACCTCCAGTATTACACCTCCTCCGAAATCAGCAATTGTTGTTGAAGATAATAAAACAAGAAAAGTACAGCAACATCCCTCTCCCAAATTACGACGGAATAAAAATCAAGAAAAAGCGGAAACTAAATCCCAAAAAAATACAAAATGTAAGTACAGCATTTTTTTTGTTTGTTTTTTTTCCCTAGAAAAAAAATGGCTTTTTTTTTTTTTTTTTTCCGAATTCGATATGACTTTTTTTTTTTTTTTGTAATTGATAACCAACTGTTTGGTTTTAAGTATCTTGCAAAAGCAATGATTATTCAGTTTAATAAGAATGCTTATTGTTTTTAAGAAAAAACAAAACAACCCCCCAAAAAACAAACAAACAAGAAAACACTTGTTTATTTTTAAAAAGTATTATGGAATTTCTCAACTCTCTCTTCTGTCGATTTTTTTTTTTTTTTTCTTTACTCCATTATTTTTAAATGTATTTCTTCCTAACACTGTTTTACTATTTACTTGAATACTTTGTCTTGCTATGTGAAGCTTAAACCTAATTTACACCTATTTATAAATTTATACAATTAATGAAAACCACGTTTTGAAATTAGGACAGTATTAAAAAACGGTCACACATTTTTAGTCGCTAGTAAATATAAAATTAATGGATTATTACTGATTCCGAACCTTTCATAATTTCTTTACTGATTCTTCTTAATTTTCCACAACTGAAAATTTTATGAATCAACTAAAAGTTTATGTGCGACATTTCTGTTTATTTTTTTAACAGTTGCTTACTCCCGCCTCGTCAATTCCAAATGAATTTTGAAAAGTTTTTAGCCGTAATAATCATCTGCCTCTTTAGGGTTTTCTTTTTAGTTTTAAGAAAAAGTACTTAATTTGCAAGTAACTAAGTAGTTTTGCAAGAGCTTTGAACTTCGTTTTTTTTTAATTTATAATGAAATTTTAAAGATGTTTGATAAGTTGTTTTTTTTTTTTTTTTTGTTTTTTGTGGCGTGGATGAGTACGTGAGTGCTCCTCTTCTGAAATATTAACCAAATCAACTAAGTTAAACCGAAACGAAAGCATTTTTTATTTTTTCAGTGTTTCAATCTTCATTCACAAAACAAATCTTTTTGTTTTGAGTTTATAACTTATAAACTCAAAACAAAAAGATGTGCATTTCGGATACTTATAAACTTTAAACTTTATAAGTATCCGAAATGCACATATTTTTTTTTTCTGCTTACGGTACTTTGAGATCCTGTCTAGCGACTAAAATTACAAATTCCAATGTCCGGCCATTGAAGGATGCTAAAATTTAACCTTCGACTACACAAATATTTGACAACAAATGTTTTAAAATTCCCTTTTTTTTTTTTTTTTTTTTTTTTTTTTTTTAAATACACGGACGGATAGTTTTTATTGGCCAATAAACAGGAGGAGGAGAATGTAATTTCGTTTTTCTTTCCCTTCGTAAAGATTTGAATAATTCTTAACTTAGTAACTCCCTTTTTGTTTCTTCCTAGCTTTAAAGTTTAAACTATTTAGTTTTCATTTCGTCTTGCCAAGTTAAACAATTTCTGTAGAACAAACTTGTTTCCACATGTTTAGAATAAAAAGAGGCAAAATAAACGTGCATTTGATGTAAGGGAGATAAATCAATATTTGGTACATGTAAAGAAAAAATCGTTTGAAACTCTGAAATGGACTTTGTTTTGTCTTTGGCAAGATTGAAATTAAATGTAAAACTCATTATTGCTAGTATTCGGAAATCTACAATAAAAAAAAAAAATGTATATATTTTAATGAAAATACAAGCACCGGCTTTCAAATTTTTAAGATAAAATAATGGAAATTCTTATTTTACATACCAGCTGAATTAATTCAGTCTACATCAAAATTGAATCCACCTGAATTGTTCCAGCAAAACTTACAGTATGACTAATAATCTCTATGAAATGAGGCAATATCTTATTATTCCTTAATGTGATGGTTATTTTCTCATTTGTGGCTGTCGCTCTCATTAAATATTGCATCATTTCAATTTCAATAGTTGTATAGCACGCACGAATGTGACGTGAATTTAAGTCCAGCCAGAGACTTACTGTCATTGAAGGCACACTTTAACTTATTCTGATAAGTCGAGTCATGATACTTAACAAGCCATGCCTGCTTTGTAGCGGACCCCCTCGAGGGTGGCGTGATATAAAATGACAGCCCGAGCTCCCCCGTATCGTGGATGAGGTGACAAAAGACCCGTTGACGCCTTTTCAAATTAAAGATGTGAAATCTGACAAGGTGAAACAAAAAAATGGACAACAGAATGAGGATATGTAGGATTAATGCTAAGTTTATTTATAACCGATAGTATACAGGGGAGGTTATTCAAGTCGATCGCTGCTGGTCGTCGCAGGTGATTGATGCTGGTTACTGCAGATGATTGCTGCTGAGTGATGACAAAAACACTTAGCAGCCGACATTTTTTGCGCTGTTGCATGTCCTTATTTCCCACCTTTAGTCACTTCTTTTTATCTGGTGATATTCACACCAACTTAGGGAAAGGATTGAAATTTTTTGGGAAAAAAATTGTTTTGAAGTGAAAAAAAATTTTTTTTTCATAAAGTGCTTTTTCTCCAGAAAATAGGCCATAATTTCTTAATGCTAACTTCACAGCCAAATCGAAGATTAATTACCAGTGAATAATTCTATGTGCAAACAATAGTCGTCTGGATCCAATAACATGGTCTGAAAATGGCTCAAAGGTAATCGATTGATTGAAAACTTGTTGCATATAATTGTTTTCCACAGTCAGTTTCCCAACATTTCATGTTGTTGCCATTTTTGGACAGCCAAGTCATTGAGGATTCAGGAAAACAGTTAGGCACAGGTTTGCTTTGAGAACTTTGCATTCTATGAGAGGTTTAATGTTACTGATGAATGGGAATTTTCATTCAAGCACCATGTTGGATTTTCCTATATGACAAAAACAAGCGTTTTAAACAGTTGTGGCATACAATGACTGCCATGAAATTCTTCTATACAGAAAAGAATTTCACCCACTGATATTCATGTATGCTTGACTAACATTCATGGAGATTCAAATAGTGGTTGTCAGGTATTTCTGTAGTTTGTGACATCTATTTTCTGGGTCTCCCTGTAAATTTTTTTTTTCACTCTATGAAGTAAAAAGCATTTGATCTCTTCCATGAATTACATTGTAGGAACTGTTTGTAGCTTCCATATATTCTTGGCAATGTTTAAAAGATTGTTCATGGCAAAGGCACAGAGACCCCCACCAAATGAAAGTCTATCAGAACTTTAGGGAACCATGATGAAGCAGAAATTTCCAGGACTATATTATCACCAATAAGTTATAGTCTCACTACATTGAGCTCCAGTCAAAACAGTTGTAATATGTTAGTTAATTCTCAATCAAAGGATAAATTTTAAAATACTGGCAAAGTGATGTGTACTGTCTCTTCAGATAAAAAAGAAACTGAATTCTTCTGGATTATTTTGAACTGGGACAAACAATCAATTGTAACTGTTACATTACAATGCTAAACTGAAGATCCAAATTTTCAGATTGGGGTTTGAAAAAAAAAATTGTTTGCAACATAATTCCAGGTCCCATGCCAGTTTGAAGAAAAGGGATGTTGTAAACTTTGGTTGGAATGTTCACTCATACTATTCATCTGAATGTGATGTCTTATTTTTGGGCTGTGGGGACATTTAACAGATAATGATGCCATCACTACTAGTTAAGGTCAACTTTGCTGGTACAGATATTTACAAGTATGTCATGCAAGCTCTTCTTCATTGCTGTCAAAAATTCAAAAATTGTTTGTATAAAGAAAACATGAATTGTAACTGAAAACTTGCTCTGTTCTAGTCTTTTCGTTCACTCACCCTCTTATTAATATTTATAAAATTATATAATTTAATGTATGTCAAGGCAAACATTCTTTTTGATAAAGTGTTCATTAGCTATCTAGAGCAATAATTGTTACATAAAAGATATTGAGAATTTACTACATACACACACACTATAATAAATGCATTTTAAGATTCATTATTTAGTTATGAAATTAACAATTCTGGTAATATTGAAAATATCACTCTATTGCCAAGACAAGAACAACTTTTTTTTTCTGCAAGACTCTAATACTACAGATGTTCCTAGTTCCAGAAAACAAGTATTTAGAAAAAAAGTTCCAGTTAATAAAATTAAATGTTCTGAAACTTTTTTTTTCTACAGTGTCAAATTTGAATAAGAAAGAAATTTGTATCATAAAGAAAGTTATTTATGTTTCTGAGATCAAGTATTGTAACTATTTACATATGTTTGCCTGTTATATGCTCTGGATTTCTTCAGGTGATATATGTTGAAATTTTGAATCCCCATCCCTTTTAGTTCACAAGGGTAGATTGTTTTAATTCCATGTGCCATGCCTTTTTGGATATCTTCATATCAGTTAATTCTCTTTAAGAACTCAATTTAACAATTTATTCCCCCCCTCTCTGCTGTAGCCAGTTATTAAGCTCTTTGGGTCAAGTCAACTTTTGGATAGCTCAACTAATGCTTTTGTCCTTGGACACATGGCCCAGTGGATAGAAATGTTAGTTGAGTATTGACTTATTAATAAGGCATGTTCTGATCATAGCTTTTAATTGTGCACATCACTAATTTATCACATTGTTCAAGTGGGCACCTCACCTGCAGTTTGTCACAACTGCTATTGATTTCTTTGTCCTAGCATTATTGCTGGGATCTTCCAAAGATTGATACAAGATCTGGTCTTTGAGTAGGCTGTGTCATAATTTCAAGCGAATTTTGGCGCTTGAGGATGAAATGGATCTAATGTCTTTAATTTAATTACAAAATTAAATTCAGGGCTTTTAGCTTCCATTTTTTGAAACATGGTTAGAACTGTGTAGTGAAAAAAAAACATTTTAAATCAATTAATTTATAATATTAATGCTCTGTGAATTTACATTGAGCACTATTTTGTAAAAATAAAAATATCCATAAGAACACCGGATTGTATATCTTACTGTTCTTTCTTTTTATTTATATATATATATATATATATATATATATATATATATATATATATATATATATATATATATATATATATATATATATAAAAAGCTGTTCTCCATGCAGGCTTTTAAGCTTCATGGAACTTCAAAACCTGACTTTAATTCTGATTGGTGCTATGTCTTATTTGGGCTGAAATTCCAATTAAAGACCCCCCCAATGTTCTTCAAATCAGAAACTGCAGAACTTCAAAACCTCTCACTTGAGCTCTGATTCCTTGGCATTTTGAAGAAATATAATTGAATTCCTGAATGCACAAAGTTTTGGAGATATTTAAAACAGTTTTAAATTCACAAAGATTTTGTTACTTTAAACATTATATAAATTAAAAACTTAAAAATCATTTTTTTTTTTTTTTTTTTTTTTTTTAAATTTGAATTTTTAATTGTTGTCTTATCTGGACACAAATTCGAATGTCAAATTGTAAGGACCAGATGAAGGGCATATTTTCAATCTTTGGATCATCATGATTCCAAAAAGGTATAATACGTCTATGTAGGGCAAGTGTGGCTAGAGTTAGAGGGATTTCAAATACATGGATGGGCAGAGAATTTGCCGTTTATTTATTTATGAAATATATATAGGCTTGTGTCAGAATCGGTTCAAGTGTTGTGTTTTTTTTTTTTTTTTTTTTTTTTGTAATTCTGATAGTGCTATTTTTTGTAATTCATGAAACCTTAATATTTCTGCTCTAAAAATGTAAGTTTGGGGAAGAAAAATGTTAAAATGTCTTGTATTTCAGCTACTGAAGCCAGTGCAGAACGATTGAAAATGTTACAAAAATGGAAACGAGAAAGAGACTTGCTGAAGAAACAAGAAGCTTTGGAAAAAGCCAAGCATAAACCATTCATTGTTTCTGTTACTTATGCTGCTACACAAAAAACTAATTTTGAACGAAGATGGGAACAAGAGCAAAAGAAGGTAAAAATCTTTTGCTTCTTTCTTTCTTTCCAGGTGTGAAAAACCTTCAGAAAAGTGTTTAAATTTTGTAAACATTTAGTTTATACATTCAAATCTCTTGGTGAGTCTCTCTTTTGTTTTGTACAAATTCATTGCCGTTGATTCTACCAGCACCAATTGTTTTTGAGGGTGACGAGGAATGAAAAATTCTTTTGTCATTTAATGTGCTTAAGATGTTAATGTACTTAAATACAAGACAGCTGCTTATTTTTGCCAAAGAAAGTGAAGAGGGTGGCATGGCACTTGTCTACTTTTTTAGCTTTTACCTGAGTTTGAACATTGGTACTGGTTGGAAAATACACAACATTCTCAGCCATCAAGAATGTTGTTTAAAAGAAACTTATTTACTAGTATTTTAAGAGTAAATTCAATTACAGAAACCCTTGTCATGAGGAAGATTTAAATTTATTTTTGACAATTCACTATAATAGCAATTTATATTCTCTCTTGTTAGTAAATTTTGAATATCTGCCATTTATGAACAGTATAAAGCAGCAGTAAAAGTTTTTAGATATGCTAGAAAACTTTGACACCAGCTGCATTGGTAGTAAATAGGAGAAAAGATAAAGTGTGTGTTAGTAATCAAAGCGATCATATTTGATGTGTATAAAAACTTGTAAAAAAAGATTGTTCACATAGCTTTAATGTTATTTGTAGTAAGTAATTTGGTAGATATTAGTGCTTGGAGAGATGATGTAAGTCTTGATGATGTTCTGATGAGAGCAAATCCAAATTCTTATATTCAAATTCAGTCAAGATTGAAAATATAGTTTGTTTTTCATTTAATATATATATATATATATATATATATATATATATATATAAAGCTGTAAAAATTGCTACACAATTGCAGTCATGTTTCATCCAATACTATTGCATCTCCTCAGGTGATTGTAAATTATTGGTGAGTGAATGGTTAATATGTGTAGTCTTTTTGTGAAAATTTCTCTTTCTGTTCATTAAAAGCCTTGTACTTAAAATGTTCAGCAGCCAAGAATTTTTCTGACATTCACAGACTATGGTTAGTATAGATTGCTGAAATGTGTAGCAGTAAGAAGGAAAATGTATAATTAACAATTTTCAAGTGTAGAACTCCAAACTGTGTAGAATGCTATACAAAATATGTAGCATAACCGGGTCTGCATTCAATTGTTTTAGATTTCTTCACTGCTTTCAGCTGATTCATGTAACTTAAATTATTGGAACCAGTTGTAGCTCTTCTTTGAAGATCTTATATGTCAAACTATTAAAAGATAAATCACAAAGTTTGTTTGTGTTTTTGTGTGTGTGTGTGTGTGTGTGTGTGTGTGTGTGTGTGTGTGTGTGTGTGTATATCAGTTTCAGTTCTTGAAACTTTATATAGCTCTGGAAATTTTTTATGTGGAACAATGGGAGCCGTGTATTAGCTAATTTGTGTTAGCTTGAATTGTTACTCTTTGGTGCTGTTACATAATCTTTAACTTCATTAATGACTGTTTCATGAGATCAATTGTCAGATAACCAATTGATTGTGGGGGGTAGATAACCTGCTTACTGTTGGGATAGATAACCTGCTTACTGTTGGAGTAGAAAATTTATGTAAAGTAGTTTGTTGTTGGATTTTCTATAGAGTTGATGTCTTCTGAGGTTGGATGTTACGTAGGAAAACAAATTTTAGATTTCTTCTATGTCTGTCAAATCCTATATTTTTAATCTTTTATGATACATCAGTTGGACTATTTTCAAATAACTTTTGTCATTTTTAAATTTTTCTACCTAGCAGAAAATTGCAAAGAAGCATAATGTAGCGTCCGAGGTCCCACCTGCCAGAACTAGGACAGGAACAGCCTCTGTTGCATCTACCACTTTACGTAGCCAGAGAGTTACACGTCAAACTACTGCTGCAGCTAAGCAGGTTGCAGCTCCTGCAATTCGTGCCCAAGCAACAAAGGCTGTCCCTGCTTCTAGAACTGCTCCTGTTACCAGAACTACAAAAACAGTGTCTGTTCCTAAACCTGGTGCACCAGCAAAGGTCACTTCCACAAGAGCAGCAGCTTTGGTCAAATCTCAACCTGCTGCACCAGCAAAGGTCACTTCCACAAGAGCAGCAGCTTTGGTCAAATCTCAACCTGCTGCACCAGCAAAGGTCAACTCCACAAGAGCAGCAGCTTTGGTCAAATCTCAACCAGCTGCTCTGAAGAAAGCCCCATCAAAGATAACTGAAACCCAGTCTGTTAGACGATCTACTCGGGCTACTGCTAAATCTGTTGCTAAAACTTATCCTTCTACCACGATCAACACGAGAAATCATCCGCAAAATGTAGATTGTAAACAAACTGGTAAGTTGCTCTCCATTTCAATCTTTCTCTGTTGGTCCAAACATGATATGCTCCTGGATTTTGGAAGTCCAAATAATAAATGTATATATGTTAATGTACTTTTGGTTCTGACATTGCCCTGCTTGCTGGTGTTAATGTTGCTTAAAAGAAAAAATTCAATCTGTATAATGTTTGCACTTGAGCCATTTTATAATTCTTTTGGTTGTTAGAAAATTTTTTATTATAAATATCTGTACATTTCTTCCTGAGTGTCTTTTTATTTTTATCAATAAAACATGATTTATAACCTGTTCTTATGCCTTACTCACCCATATCCAGTCTTGAAGATTTGCTCACTTTGAAGGAAGGTTAAAAATGATTATTAATAAAAAAAATAAAAAAAAAAAACTAGCAAGGTTTCAAAGTAGCAGATATTTAAACAAAGGTTTCTTTTAAAAATTGTTTTCCTTTGATAAAGTTTTATCTGCAAGGCACATACACTGCATGATTTTCTGTTCCCTACCTTGTGATATTCAGACCATATTCAAAGCCTATAGATCATTTGTAGCATTAAACTGTCAGCATCTACAAAGGTTGGTCTGATATTGACCATTCTTCTTCCATAAATATAGCAAATTTTAAACAGTATAATATAGATTTGCTTGAGGCCTAATGAAAGTTCTTTAAGATGTCTTTTTTCTTTTCTTTTCTTTTTTTTGGTTTACTCTATTTTTTCCTGGTTCTCAAGGAGAACTTAAATATAAATTGTTCCATATCTTTTGAATGCTTTTGGCTTTTATAAGCCATTATAAGAATTGTGTGTTCAGCCAATGTCCCAGACCGTTTTTATTGACCAAAAACACGGCCAACGCACCAATCATCACCATTGGCCTCGTTCTCAATCAGTCCCCAGCTCGACCAATCAGCATGCAGACCGCCACCAGACAAATTGTGCCAAGCAGCATAAAATAAACAAATGTCAGAGAATGTACTTTTCTTGGATCAAACTTGTGAGAGGAAAGGATGTACCTGACGAACTGTCTAGCTTGGTTTTATGCACATATCCATCATAAAACAGCAACCTGACAAGCAAAACATCTTGACACTTTGAATCCGGTAAGTGCGAATATGTATCGTCACACTCTCCCCTGGTATCCCGATCTCACAAATAACAGTGCGGGTGTGGTCTTTTGTTTCGGGTACTTCTTCGAAGGGGCACTATTGGAACTTCTTCAGAGGAGCTTTCAGAAGAACTCTCAGAGCTATCAGAGCCACTTGGTGGGCCCTTGTGTGAATGGTTAGCTACAGGCTCAATTAGCAATTCGCCTTCCAACGAATCATTCTCACCGTTGCTCATGGAGGGGGTTGTGTTGAGGACAGGGCACAGATCCCTCACATGTGGGAGTCCATCGACCAATATGGTGTGCTCACTGACGATACCGGTGACACGACCCTTTTTAAATTGGGTGATGCATCGACTATTGGGAGGCTTTACCCAGACGGCCTTTCCTATCTCGTATGATTCTCGTCAATTAGGCAGGTACTCTCTGTCGATCCATTTGACCTGTACCTGGTAGCTATATATCACATTGGCAGGGGCACTTAAGGCAGATACGTTGTCCTTTGGTGTTGTGTTGTATCTGTATATAGCTTCCACGACTGTGCATTGCTTTCTGCTATGCCATTACCACTTTGCACATGTGCACATTGCAGTCGAAGCTGGATCCCCCATTCGTCCAGGAAGCGCTCGAACTGTCTGCTGCAGAAGGCAGTGTCATTATCAGTGAGGATTTCTTCCAGCGTTCCTCATTCATGGAACGCTGACTCCAATTGGCTTGACGAGTCCTGTCGTGACAACGGTCGCCAGACTGTGAATTCTTTTGGCCTGCAATCTATCAGTGTGAGGAAATTCTGGTTGCCGTAATGGGTTATGTCCATACCCAGCCTGCTCCATGTGCAGCTTACTCCCAGCTTTCCTTTTCGCCATTTAACTAGTGCAGGGTCAAATTGACTGGCATGTTCGACATCCCTTGACCACGGCCCTCACGACATTTGTAGATACTGATGGATTGGTCAACCATAAGAAATAGCACGTCCTTCTTACGCCAGGGTGCCCACTACAATGATGTATCCTCATTATCTCGTCCGGGTCCTCCACAGACACAGCGCACATCGGTGGTACATGCTTGATGTCCTTTTTTACAGCGTTAAACCATCTTTGTGGTATCCGAATCAATTTGTCAGCAAGGTTGCAGCTCAATGTTACCAGTGTTACATCCATGGACAGATCATACTCAGTGACCAGTTTTTTTTAATAGTGCCCAGCCGTCTTCTGCCTTGGTGCGCACCCTGGCTTTGCCTGTCAAGGTGCCTGACACCCAATGGTATACACATAAGGAGTCAGTCTGCAAATGCAACTTTTTTACCCTCCACTGGAGTGCCAAATTGACTTCTTTTAGTACGGCGTCCAGCTCTGCCAGGTTGATGTGCACAGCATTGTTTGTTGGTCGCAACCAGCATGCATCCTTGATTTCCATTCCTCTCCACTAGGACTCCAATTGCTAGGGAGCTTGCATCGACCGAGACATTCATTTCCTCCCTGGGCACGCACCAATTCTCTCTGGCAGGGTCATTCTGTTTTACTCTTGCTATGGTCTCCATTACCATGCGAATGAGCAGCATGTCAGTTGTCTCATCATCCCATCCTTTGGTGACAGCGCTCACCCAATGTTTTATGGAGCCTGCCACCACGCGAAGCCATCCGCATACCGGTAGGTGCCCCACAAGCCTTCCACAGACGGAAAAAATAGCCCGTCTTGTTAAGACATCAGGTATATCAGGAACTGCAATTCTGCGTCTCCATTGCAAGGTTCCATGTTCCCCTCGAACATCCGGACCCAACACGTGGGTGCCGTCTTCTAGCCGTTCCGGGTCCTTGCAGGTCAAGCCGAGCTGTGCCAGTTTCGCCTTTACGTACTGTGATGACACAACGTCTTTGCTTTGTTCACATAGATATCATCAATGTACGCTGATGCCCCTTCTTTAACTGTCTCTTCTTGAGACAACATGACACTGATAATGGTTTTCATTATTTGCGGGGCTACATTTAGGCCAAAGCCCAGTCTGGTGAGACAGTATCTTCTTCTGGCAAACATCACTGTTTGAAATGGCCACAATGATTCACTGACCCGCTCTTGTAAATAGGCTTTTCTTAAATCCAGCACAGAAACATTAGATCCCTGCTGTCGCCATTCCCTCGACTTGCTGGCACAAACATCGGCATCAGCCGTAAATGCGTCGACATACAGGTTTAACACCCGGAAATCCATCACCGGCCTCACCTTGGATTTGCTCTGCTGCACAATCGCCATCAGTGGGATCAGACCCTTAGGAGGACCAAGTTTTTTTTACAAGGATAAGGAATCAACCAGCCATCTTTAATCCATGCACGCAGCTCCTCTCTATAAGCAGGTTGTATTTGGTTGGGTACATGATATTCAGCTATGTTGTTTTGTAGCTTGACTGGTTCCCTGTCTGCCGTCCATTTCCGCAAGGCTGTCCAGGTTTTCTGACGCTGGTCGAATTCAACATTGAAGTCAGATTGGTCGAGTTTTAGTGCTGCACACACGGGCGCCACCTCCTGAAACTTCATAGTACCTGTTTGCATGATGAGAACACCCCCAAGGCTTTGATGTCGTCATATCCTGGCAGCAGATCAAAGTTTAATAGCTACTCGGGCACCACCAGCGCTTTGATGTTGGCGAAGTTCCCAGTCTCTGTGTGGATCCTCACTGCCTCTATCCTATGACACGCCAGTGTTTCACCGTTTATGGTGGTTACCTTGATGCTTCTCTTCTTCCAGGTGTGACAAAGTCCCGTATTTACTATTGTTCGAGAACAGCCAGAATCGAGGAGGGCTGAACATGGTGTCTCGCAAACGTGGACTTGGATGATTAGCAGCGCCTTGTTTAGATGTCGTCTGGGGATGAGATCGGCTCCATCTTGTCCCCAGGCTTGTTTCTCGGAAAATTTCGAGCCCTGTGTCTGGCTCCATTGCATCGGAAACAACACACTTGTCGTTTTTCACACGTGCAATTCTTAGTGAAGAGTGACCACGACAATAGTGTAATTCCTCCAGGATTAGTATCAATTGTTTCTTCAGTTGGAGAACTGTGGAACGAGATATAACAAAATATAGCAGAGTATGTGAATCTTGAAATATATATATATATATATAATATGTAAAGAGAAAGAGCTGTGTGTATACATGTAGAGAGAGAGAGAGAGAGAGAGTATGTGTGTGTATGTATGTATGTATGTATGTATGTATGTATGTATGTATATATGTGTGTATATATATATATATATATATATATATATATATATATATACACACACAGCATATTTTTGGATAGATGTGAGCTTGTGACCTGGGTTTCACGCTTTAGCGATCGCCTGACGATTGCTAAAGCGTGAAACACAGGGTCACAAACTCACATCTATCCAACCAAATATGTTAGCTCTACCTCTGATATTGAGCGCTTTCTAATAAGTACCGCACATATATAAATAATTATACATATATATATATATATATATATATATATATATTTATTTATTTATTTTATAAACACTTTTCACACACACATATATATATATATATATATATATATAAAAATGTAGAGAGAGATAAGGGTAGGTCGATTTTTGATTTTTTTTTTTTTTTTTTTTTTCAAAAAAAAAGAATAATGTACTGAAAGTTGTTCATAGACCAATTAAGTACTGATACAAAAAAATTTGATCTGTCACTTTTCCTCCTGAAAGGTGAAATAAGTTTTTCATATGACCCTTTTCCTGAAAGTAGGGTTGAGAAAAATGTTTCTTTCTCTTTTTTTTTTTTTTTTTTTTTTTGATTGATTGATCAAATATTTTTCAGATGGTGGTGTTAATTTCTAACCAATAGACACTTTGATTTAAACGATGTGTGTTGTATCGAATCTTTTTGGCATGTTTTGTAAATATTGTCTGTTATTGGGTAGGAAATAGTTTGGGCATGTTTTAATATGGTGTGTATGTAATTGTGTTGGAAATAGTCTTCAGGTCAAAGTATCACTACTTCCCATATTACATCATTAATTTGAGGGAAAGGATGTAGGCCTCTAATAGTGTTATATACAGTTATTTATCATTTGATGAGTAGTCTGGCACCATCCTCCTTTTGTGGTTCTCTCTGGAAATAACCCAAACTTGAGACTTCCATGAGGAGTTGCTAAGTTCAATAACTCCTTCCTGTAACTTTCTTTACAATGAAGTCTTTATTGGTGTTAAAAAAAAAAGCACTAAGATCTCACTATGACTAGTTTACAGTAAAGTGGTAAAACTTGGAGGGGGATTGAACTTTCATGGTCAAAAGACCACATGTAGTCAATTTGGGTAAAGGGCCCTAATGAAAGGGTTGGATATGCATGAATGTTTCTGTAGAAAGTTCTGATTCAGTATTGTCACAACATAAATCATTTAAGTTTCACATTAGAGTACTGCTTGTTTCTAATCAACAAATTGACCAAATTCGTGCCTTGAATTCTAGTTGAAGAAGAGACCAATACTTACATTACCAGCAGCAGCAGCTGATGTCGGTCTAATTCATTTTACATTTTTTGTTGTCAAGAGTCTCGGCATTTAAGGTGGTTTGTTTTTCATTGTAAGCGGGTGGGGTTGATTTACGGCCACACCTCAAGGGCTACAGTCTACACCCCATTTAATGGAAAAGGGTGTCTCTGATATATTAGTATCTAATAACTTCTGCCATTACAGATTTAAAATGGATGAAGAGAGCCTCTGTTAAGACTAGCCCCAAACTTTTTTTTTTCCTTATTAAAATATAACTAGGAAAAACCTTGCTTTGTTTTATATGAACACTTAATTTATGACAAGTCTTTGTTGAAATCTGTTATGCTACACTCATATACTGATGGTGCTATATGGTTTATCAACAACTTCACTTCAGTTTCATAGAACTGTCCAAGGATACCTCTGGTAGAGAAGAAATTAAGGAAGGTTGTGTGTGTGTGGGGGGGGGCGGTTAAGTACATAATATCAGTGATAGTGTATGTAAAAAGTGGACATTGAGGTCAACACCCAGTGGTGACAGTCTTTCATGCTTAGCACAATCTTCATGCCATATATTTATATATTCTACATTGGCTAAAGTAAAATATTCCATATTAGTTGAAAAAAGCAAATTGATCTGAGACAAGAACAGAAAAGCCAGTAACCTTAACTAAGGCTTTATTTGTCTTGCAGTATAAAGAAAAATATAAAGCGTGAAACACCTGATTGCAATCTCGGGTGTAGAGCTGTTCATAGATTTTAAAATCTGATCAAAACAAGAAACAAATCCCATTGATCTTTTTCTGTAGGATTAAGAAATATGAAATAAGGACAGGTTGAAATTAATTCAAAACAAAAAATGTGTGCAAGTAAATTGTTGCAAAACCAGGAATCCTGTTTGACTTCTGTAAAGAAGATATCGGAATAGTGGATTGAATTTGAAGAATTGTTTGACAATACAGGAAGGATAAATTCTAGAGTGCTTTTTCTGATGTGTTTTTATGCACCTCTAGTGATACCTAATTTGTCAGCCTTTTAACTAGAACCTAGTTTATATTATCAGAAATTCCAGGAAGTGATGACTACATTTTACTGAACTCATACTGAAGTTCTAGAAAAGTGTTATATATTGTATCTATGAACACTAATGGGTATGTTCCAATCCTCATAAATATGTTGGAAACTATTGTAAGTGGGGGTAATATGTTGTCTAACTCGTCCATCACTAGCAGTGGTTTACCTACTTCATGCTGCTGGCAAGTATTGTGTTTTGTTGATGTTATGTTAGATTACCATTTCATTTCCAACCTCCATTTTGGTTATTCCTCATTCAGTAACCCTTTCTAGATTACAACAAAAATATATCAAAATCAGGATCTGTGCTAATCCTTAAAAACTATTAATTTCATATTGTCAGTTGTTGGCAAAAATCACCAATTTTATATTCATGTCCCCATCTTCTCTATTTATCCTTTTTTATTATTATTATTGATGTCAACCTTTACCCAATAAAATCTTTAAGTATTTCACTTACAAAGCATTGTGCACCTTATTTTTTTTTTCTCTCTCAGTAGAACTTGAAGCTGAACAATTTGAAAAACTATGTGAAGAAGATTCTGTTCCTGAACCAACTAATGAAAGTCAATGTAATCTTTCAAAGAAATCTGTTTCTTTTGTTCCTGATAATTTTGTTTTTACTGGATGTGTTGGGTTAAAATCCTTTGACTCTTCACCTTTAAACCGAACCATACTCAGTCCAACCAGTACACGCAACTTTTTCTCTGTTGACGTTCCTGTTAACAAATTCCAAAGGTAAATCTTTCACTTTTATTTATTATTTTTTTTTTTTTTTTTTTTAATTTATTTTTTTTTTATTTTTTTAATTTATTTTTTTTTACCACATCACATCAAGCGATAATGCATTTTAAAATGTTGGTGCATCTGCATATTGAGCAGTAACTTTTTGCTATTGCAATTAATGTTATAGAAAATGTGAATTGTCTGTGCACTTTATTAATTTCTTCCCTGACTTGAATGTGGTGTGCCAGTAATGAAACTAGTTAAGGTGACAAATTGAATTTTTTCTTTTTTTTAATCTTAGTTTTAAAGACTTCTATTGATATTAATCCATCGATATGGTAAGTGTAAGTAAAACCCAATGAGTTTGTTTCTGTACTAATGTTTTCAAAAGCTTTCTTGTAAAAAAAAAAAAAAATGTGGTTCATATTTTTTTTATTTGACTTTAAAAATGAATAAAAAAAACGGTGACGTTTAATAATCACTCTTATTTCCACACTAAGCAATTTTAGCAAGCCAAAACTTTTATGAAGTACATTATAAAAAAAAAAATATTTGTTGAAAATAAATTCAAACATTTAATAAAGTTCATACGGAGATTTTTGTAAACTATTTGATATTGATATCAGTAAGTCTCTTGGAGGAGATATTGGTATCAGTAAGTCTCTGTAATTATACCCAATTTACATAAGCAGAAATGATTTTAGATATGCCAACAAAATTAGAAAATTGTGCTTTTCTACAAAAGTAAAATTTATTAAAATATTAACTTTTTTTTTTTTTTTTTTTTTTTTCCAGTTCAAATTCTCCCCAAATGAACTTCATGACAATAAGAGCCGGTGAGTAATTGTTTTCTTGACATAATTTAGCAATATCTTGATAATACTAATGAATTCCAAATATTTTTAGTTTATTGCTGAGAGCAGTACTTGCTTGAATCAGTCATTTTGCATTTTGTTCTTGGTATTGGAAATTCATGATAGATGACAACCTTTTTAATTTCACCACATGCTACTTATATCATCTGCTTCTCATTTCTCCAACTTAAAATACATCCAATAGTCTTTTTTTAAACTTACCTGATGAGGAAATTGTACACAAAAGTGACTCATTTCAGCATCTTACAAACCACTCTTGTCATTATTTACATTACCTTTTCCATAGACAACTTTTTTCTTTTTGAGTGTATATTTTCCTCTTTTTCTTGTGTTACTTTTATCAACATCTTTAGTGTTAGACTAAATAAGCAAAAGTTTGCAATCTTGAACATCTGCAGATCTTGTGTGTAATCATTTCCACCATGTTATCGTTACAAGTATTACATTATCACCCACTTTTTTTTTTTTTTTTTCTTTCTCTCCACTACATCATGCTTACAAGAGAATCATTTTCTCTTTGGTTTTCCAAGTTGAAGCTACATAGTGGGTGTTATATAGGAATAAAGCGTTGCTACCGACACTGGAGTTTGAACACAGATCACCAGAGAGTAAACACATGTGATCCCATTTGAAATAAGTAGATCACGTGATGGTAAAGGAAATGTATATATGTTAATTTGCATGGCGTCTAAGTGATCGCTATACGGATTGCTATTTGGATCACTATTTAGTGGTTACTACTTGAGCTAGTATTTTCTAGCAAGTGCAATTAGTGTGAGTGTTGTTCAAAGGTGTCTGACACCAGTATTGTTCAATGGCATTACTATAGTTGTATCTGCAATTACAAAGTCTCTACTATAACAAGCATTACGAAAGCGACAAATATTTGTTGACATTACAAAAGTGGCAACAAGTGTTTGTTGATATCATAAAAGTGGATTGTCTCATCTCCATTCTTTGTCTTCAATTGCCAATATATTTTAATCAATCACCAGATGTGATTGCACATAATTTTTGAATCTTTTAATGTTGATGGCAACATGTGCTTCTTTTGTGTTAAAATAGCATAGTCATTACCAGTTGTCGAGCAGAAATGGCATCTGATTCACTTTATGCTACAGACTAATAAGCCACTTTACTAAATGAAAGGCATTGGCCTACTAAATGTCTTAATCACCTGAGGAAGGTTGGCTCAATTTGATCGCTTTTGTCATGTGATTGATGAAAATGTGGAGATGATCTGTAAAAATTCATTGAAAAAACATCTGTTGTTTTCTCAGTGTTTTTGATTTAAAACTTTTGATGCCTTTTTAATATTTCTCATTAATATATTGTAAATACATTTTTCCTCTTTCCAAACTGAAATCAATTTTATAATTTTGTAGTTTTATTTTTTTACAAAACTTTTGAACAATTTGATGACCTTGAAACTGGTTAAGTTGTATTTAATGAAATTTTAGTCTGAAATTTAATTTTCAAAATCTGATTTCTCTTCAGGTGGCTTTTTCAATGATAGAGTAGAAACGTAAGTGGATTTGTTTTATTTACAATGTTTTTTGTTTCTTCTTTCATCTAGAACTTGGGTTTTTTTTTTTTTTTTTTTTTTTTTAATTCACAAAAAATATACATTGAAATCCTTCATGCGGTTTTCTAACAACTGTTCTTGGTGTGTTGATTATTGTACTAAAGATCTTCCTTACGTCAATATTAAATATTACAAAGCATATTTTTGGGTATTTGTGTTCATTCACTTAAGGAAATATAACTAAGAATAATGCAATTTTATATTTGATAAAATACAAAACTGTATAGAATTGAATTTAAAACTTCACATGAAAGAAAATATTTATTTATTAAATGATTGCTGAGAGTTTGCTGAAATATTAGATGGATAAAATACTTCATTTAAACAAAATAATTTTTTGTGTAATGTTTTTCATTATTCATCTTGTGACAAATATAGATCTGCTTCTATTGAAACTTGTGATGCAGTCCAAGAACATCCAAAGGATTCTAATGTTGGTGAATTATCATCTAAAAATTCGGAAAAATCATCTGATTGTCCTTCACCGGATAAAAACACGGATGTTTCAAATGAAACTCCAGAAAGAAATGGAATCCCAGAAGCTGAATTTTTGGAAAAGAAAAATGTTTCTGTCACTAAACAAGAGCTTGCCATTCCAACTGAGGAATTGCTGGAAACAAAATCTTCTGTGAAACCTATCAGCCCTATCAGAATGACAAACAAGGAATTGTTCAAGACTCCTGTTTCTCAAGGTCCAAGGACAAAAAGAATGCGGCGCTCTTTATCAGAAACTAGGTTTGATAAAGAGAAATCTGACAAGGGAAATCGTAAGCGCCGAAGGACTGAAATGACTCGATCTCCACAAACTCCAGAAGAATGGTAAGTTTTTTTTTTTTTTTTTTTTTTTTAAATCACTTCTCTTGATTTGCTTTTTTTTTTCTTTCTATTCTTTTCTACTTGAAGAGATATAATTCTTGGTATCAACATAATATTTATCATTCCAACAAAGTGATTCTTGAATATAAATATATGAAGATCAAATCTAGCCATTATCATATCCAGATTGATAAGGATATACCAGGCACATGCATCATGGCCAAATGTGTGCAGTAGTGGCAGGTTTTGATAGCTGCAGCACATTAACTTGCAGTCTGTCGGTGAGGGGGGGGATTTGAAAAACATTTTCAGGTTAACTCCATCTGCTCAGGCAGTTTCCAGTTAAGGGTGTTCCCAAGTCACCTGGGCTGCTTCATCCTTCAAATTTAAAAAAAAACAAAACACACTCAACACCTGACCTTCATCATGTTCTCCCCACTAATCTCCCGTATGCACATGGATGTACAGTGCATCTCCCACCGCCATTGAATGTTCTCAGATGGTTACAGTCAGGCAACTGACAAGCAGATCTATCAGACTTGTCATTGCTGCAGTAGCATTTGTGCCTACCTCAGACAGCAGGTTTATTGGAAGTCAATAGGAAACTAGGGAAAAAAAATACAATCTGGAGACTTGTTTAGTCCAAATGACTAAATAAAAAAGGTGTAAAGGAGAAATATGAAAAAAGGGAGAATGTGTATCTAAATGGGTAAAGTGGGGTAAGTAGTTTGCTCACAGGAATGGGTTATAAAGTTTGCAGTGATAAGTCCTACAAAAAGGAAGAAAGTTACAGTATGACAGTATGATGAAGGGGTTCTACATGACAAGTACAGTAGCAAAAATAAATGTATATGAAGTGACTACCATAAACAAATGTTTAAATGAAGGTATTAAATGAGACCCAGGCTTAGAGAAAAAGGTTAAGTTAAATACTCTGATGCTATTATTAGGTTAAGAAAGTAGGAACCACATGCTTTTTGACCTTGTTGTGTATTGTGCCAGTAATTAGTAAGGGGTTCATAATGGTGACAATGTAAATGTATCTAAATTAAAAAGGGAATGAACAAAGGGGAGAAAAATAAAAGCATAGAGGGGCTCTACCATTTATAACAGAAAATTATTATAATAATTAAGAGAAGGAAAACTAATTTTAAACCTCTGCTGCCTTGTGACCATACCCAATTATGGGAAAGGCTTAGGGAGTAAACCCTAAGGATAAATCTGGAGCTGGGGTCCCTAAGACAGTCTGATGTTATGTTCAACTTCATTCTGGCAATGCCACCAGTGCCAAGCTGTATTGGCCTCAATATTTCCCTGGATAACATTGGTGAAGAGGAGATATGCTGGGTAACCATTAATCTCTTGTAAAACCCTGTCCAGGCCTGCACATTGGAGAGGACCTCAGCAACTCGAGTATGACTTTTTAGGCACAGATCCAGGGTCTCTTGATACTGATGGATGCCACATATATTATTATTAATAATAGTACCACCACCACCAGTTTTACTTTGGTATGTAAAAGGGGGAAAAAAAGGTTAAAATTAAGTTTGAAGAATTAATTTGATGAAAGCATGTACAGTTGGAGAATTGAAAGTACATTAAATTTTTTTTTTTTTTTTTTTTTTTCTCCTAGGGTTGAGTTGTTGAAAAACTCACCCATGATTGAGATGTCTAGGAGAAAAATCCCTAAAGAAAAATTAAATGCTGGTGAGTTATTTTGACAAATTTTCTTTTTATGGACAGAAATCAGCTTTGTTTTGATTTTGGTAAATCGAAGTTAAATATTTGGTAGGGTAATGCCTATTGGGGTAAATCATATATATTTCCATTCTGAAAATAATGGAAATATTTTAAGCTGTTGTGTGTTATGTTTGTTTTCAACATTATCTACTGAAAGGCCATAAGTTGGATAAACTGAAGGCATGGCTTCATTTTTAAGTAATACTAGATATTAATACCAGGTATTTTGATTTTTTTTTGTTTTCTGGTCTCTATTTTAATCTCTGAAGGTTGGTGTTCCCTCACACTCTTCTTATAATGCATCTTTCTCTTTGTATAATTGTAATTTTTTTCTTCTCAGTCCCCTTAAACTTGGAATTCAGTGATGAAGATCTTGCAGCTGCCAACATTATTCTATTAAAAGATTCAAGCAATGAAGGTAGACATTTTATATTTTTCATATGAGCTTAAAACTTAGTCTTGTTTAACTTGCATAAAAAAAGCTCCCAAAACATCTGACATATAGGTACACAGAAAATGAGAAAATCTAAAGAGATTGTATTTTCTGATGAGACTTATAAATTATGATTCATGATTTTTCTAGACATTCATTAATGAAATGTCATGAAACCAGTTTAAAGTTTTTGGAAAAATTAACTGTATTAAAGTATATTTTGTGACTTTTTTTTTTTTTTTCTCCTCCTACATATAAAATTGAAAATTTTCTCTTCCTTTGGTAATTTTTAATTTAGTTGGTGAAAAACCACCTGAATCAACTCCTCAGAAGGAAATGGAAACATCTGAAAAACCTGTAGCCTTGGCCTCTGCTGTTGAGAATGAAGAGGTTGCATCTGAAGTGTCTCCTCTGATGTCATGTGATATGCAGTCAGGACAAACAGCTGCTAACACTGAAAATAAGACATTTGAAGTGGCAACTGAAATTCCCTCCATCACTGTTAAGCATGATGTTGCTTATTTTCGAAATCTAGTAAAATCCCAGACTGACACTCTCAACTCTCTAGCTGATGAATTTGAAGCTGTCATTCCAAATGTCAGCGAGGAAGGTGAGACAATTTAAAAAAAAAAAAAAACCAACTCTTTCATAACCATAAGGCTGATAATGCAGATGTGTAAAGATATTTTTTGCTTGTAAAATTTATCATTTGCTGTTTTTTAACAAACAGGGGTCTGAGGGAGACCCATGTACCTCTCCCTAAGTTATGTGCTGTGGGAGAGGTGCATGGGGCTGCAAACGTATGTCCCATGGATTTGCAAAGCTGAATTAAATCAATTTGGTAATTTGGGGGAGGGTGGGGGTCACATATTCCATGTCATTAAATACATTTTTAAAAAAAAGCAAAATTTATCTATTAAAAGTATATTTGCAATATGACAAATCTTTAAAAAAAAAAAAACATTGACCAAGAAAGCTGTTAACAAGTTAATGACCTTGGAATTGTCCTTCCTCAAAGACTTTAAAAAGCAGATTTTTTTTATTTGTTCTATACAGTTGGTCACACTGTAAATTTATTGTAAAATGATATTAATTTGTATGGATTTCATGTAAAATAGTTTTTCAAATTTAGAAATACTGGATTTAGTTTTTTAAATCTTTACATAAGAACTAGGATACATTTTGCTAAACTTCTGTTTACACAAATCTTTTTTAGTTTTATTTTTTTTTTTTTTTTAATTATTTTTTTAATTTTATTCAAGTTAGTGAATTTTTCATAATTGTTCAGTGTTTTGACTGAAATATTTTTGTTTTAGTTGAAGGTCAAATCCGGACAGTTATTGGTCAAACCAAACTTCTAATTTCGAAACGATTCCGTCAGTTCATTGGCTTGATTGACAACTGTGAATACAACTTAGGTGAGAAAGAAACAACTTGTGATGATCTTCAAGGTTTCTGGGACATGGTTGATTTTCAGGTAAATATTGCTGCTCACCATGATTTTCATTTACATGAATATATTTAAGCTGTAGGCATCATTGTCTTTAGTCAAAATCTGTTAAAATTAATGGTTGAGGTACACTCCATCTGCCCTTATGATATGCTTCAAAGTAGAGTGGCCAGCATCAGTATTTAGATCAAAACCATATAAAACCTTACTGGCATTGGTAAAATGAACAGACAAGCACAAAAATTTGCATTTCTCAACTAAGATAAATTTGCTGATACTATGTATCAGTTTTTTTTTCTTAAACATTTTTTGTGCATATTGTAGCACAACTTCACTATTGACAAGTTGAATGCTATGGGAGTACACGTATGGATGCTTGATGTTTTTGCAATGTGTGTGTGTGTGTATATATATATATATATATATATATATATAGCCAAATTTTGTCTGCCAAGAATGTGGTTAAACCATGATTACAACAGATTGTGTGACTTGCTTATAGTTCTGAGAGAAGAGAAAGCAGTTATTTTCCTAGAAAATCTGGATGCACACTTGTACACAGAACTGAGGCTTTAATTTATTCACTTTTAATTTCTGTCTTGTAAATAAGTGTGTCGGTATTTGTACTTGGTAAAAATGGGTCAATGATGAGATGTTGGTCACCCTACTTTATTACATATAAATGCATGAAAGTAGAATATTGAATGTTCATTAAATAACTATTATTTCTGAAAATTGGCCTTTTTATTTTTTTTTAACCCCCCCCGGTTCCATTTTGTTGTATAAGATGTGCTGAGAGCTTGCAATGCCTGGTCAGCACCGAAGCCTCAAACATACAAAATTTATAATTTACAAGCAACAATTCAAAACTTGGTTTATCCAAATTAACATTTATTCAAAAACTACTATGTATTGACTGTGATTCAGTTGTGTTTGGTATTAGTGCTTCAGTGTATAGGTAAGTAGTTTTCACAGTTGTGCCCATGTTGAAGAGTTCGAAATATCTTTTCCTTAATAACATTTGTGACATAGTAAGTAGAAAGCAGTGTTAGTGAAGCAGTGCTTAACTGATGTCGCTAATATGGAGGTGTTCCCGCTTCTTGACCTGGTTACCATGGTGATCAGTAAGTTTGTTCTTTGGTTGCAGTTGTTGAAGGAATGGAAAAATAAAAGGGATGAATAGTTTCCTTCTATCTGCCGACATGAAGTTCAGTAGCGGATTTCTCTCTTTTGAACTGAGAATTTCTGCGCTATTTCTGTTTACGACAGCTGTCTAGTGTGTGGATGTATTTGAGATAAATGTCTGCAGCAAGAAAGATAAGTGGAAGAAAAAAACATATTCTGGCCAAATCGTTTTTTTAAGTCTGCTACGAATGTATAAAACAAAACATTTTTATAAATATATTTTCCTTTTTGCAGGTTGAAGATGTCAGAATAAAGTTTGAAGAATTAAAGAAGTTGAGAGAAAATGGTTGGCAGTTATTAAAAAATAAACCACCTGTTGCTAAGAAACTTGTCAAAAAAACAGTCAAAAAGGCTAAGGTAAGAGACTTTTTACCTACATGAGTAATTAAAAGAATTTGAAATGTATCATACTCTTCAACAAAAAAAATAAAACATTGTTGGGAAATTTGTCCTGGCTTTTCCACATCAAAGGGTTGAGGTTAAAAAAAATGCAACACAATTCGATTAAAGACAGCAAGATTAGAGCAGACAAATTCTCTTTAGGCAGATGAATAAAGAAAAAAACTCCTGCTCGGTGTGTAACAATAAAAGAAGCAAGTGTTTATTTACATATACAGAAAAAAGGGGTGACAGGATAAAGACAATTAGGAGAGAAAGAAAGGGAGAAGAAAAAGTCCTTTAAGGAAAGAGAAAATGTTCATAACTGAAAAAAGACTTGCTCAAAATTTCTAAGTGCCTAAAAGTTCTTTAAGAAAGTAGAATTTTAAAGTTTAGAAATACTCAGATTTCTTCAAAGTTCCTTCAGAGTAGGAAAATGTTGGTAGATTTAGGAGTTTTGCAGTTGAGTGAGTTCGTAGGTTGACAAGTCTTGTAGGTGAAAGGGGGCAGCTTTCAACTGGTCTTTTATTGTGGGCCGATGTTCATTCTTGACAGCCCTTCAGTAGGTTAATCTTTGGTTGAATGTGGTTCCGAAGTTGACTGGTGCTCTCTATCGTCGACCTCACAGATGGTGGGCCTCGGTGCCAAATAGGCGAAGATCCTTCAAATTTATGGAGATTTGGGAAGCTCAGAAGGATCAAGGACTTTTCCTTCTGAAATTGTTATACAAATTTCCCGGCCTTGCCATTGGTCAGAAAAGACATTCATATCTCTAATAAAAAATCAAGGCTTTGGGAGCCGGTTTTGAAAGTTAAAAAAAAAGGTTGGCACGAGGATTGGAAAAATAGGTTAGAATATGAACTTCTAAAATATTGTTCTCAAATTAAATTCCAATAACATCTTGGTAATGGTGGGGTTGTGGTGATGAATAACTGAATATTCCAATTTTTTTTGTCCAAATTGTTTCTGTATCATAATAAGACATTAACTGAACTTTATTGGATACATTTTATCAAACATTATCTTAGAGAATCACTGAATATTTGAGGCTTTCATCTTATTTTGATGTTTTATTGTCTTTTAAATGTCACTTTCTTTTATTTGATTTTATTATCCAAAAAACTTTAGCAAATGGTATTTCCAATCCTTCTTGTGCTCACCTTTTAGTAGGTACTTAGAAATGTGAAAATAAAATCTATAAATTTGTTGTGTTATAAGAGTCACTTACTAAAAATTCTGCTTGTGGTTGTTGACATTGGCTTTTGTCCTTCATAGTATAAAGTAAATTTTCCCTTCATCCTTTCCTAGAGCAGGAAAAGAAAAACCCTAAAAATCTGAGTGCAAATTTCTTCCCCAAACCATTAAAGACTATAAAAATTGCTTAAATAGAAATTTGGCAGTGAACTCAAATTTAAAATTTTATTTTTTATTTTAAAATATTTTCAAACTTCATTAAATAAGCCTAGTGTTTTATTTGACCATCAAAATATTAAATATTAATTTATTCATTGAGTTGTAGATATATCTTAATAACATAACCCTGCCTCCAGGCAAGTTTTAAAATTTCAACTTGGCTTCTTTGAAAATGTAATTAAGATATTTTTAATTTTTTTATTTTTTATTTTTCTTTTATTTTTTCTTTTTATAAAAAGCCTGTAAAAATTGTATTTAATCTATAAAATTGTTGTTTTGAATGACTTTTCATTATTCTCCTCAGCCTTTGGCTGCAAATACCAAGAAACAAAAAGGCAAATCTGAATTTGCTTTGTTCATGGCCCAAAAGAAGAAAGAAGCTAAAGAGCAGATGAAGGTTTCTTCAAATGTAAGCAAACCAGAACTGGAACCATCTTTGAAAGTATTTGATGGGCTCTTTTTCAAGGTAGAAAGCCCAGTGAAATCTCCAAAACCTCATTGTGAAGGTAAGTCAGATTAAAGTTTTATTTTAACTTAGGCTATCTGTCTATGCTCATTGGCTGAAACATTGTGAATATCGAAATGAAGATAAGTCTGAATAATGTAAATGAGTTTTAAAATTTATTCTGAATTTAAAAATAAAATCAAACAAAATATTGTGTGAATTTTTTTATATAATTGTTTATGTAATTGTGACATAATTATAAAATTTAAATTGATTGGAGGGGGGGGAATTTAATAAAGATGGAAAGTAATTCTTAGTGTCTGTAAATTTTATTTGCAATTCTGGAGATGTTTTAATGAAGGATTTTTCATAAAACTGTTGACTATCAAAGACTTATTTCAATTCCTTTTCAAAGACCAGTTGTATTGTTTCTATTGTAAAAATGATGTTCAAGCAAAACTTCATTTGTTTGAAGCTTTTTTTTTTTATTTCTTGGTTTCAAGTCAAGAATTGAAAAGAAAAATTATTTACATTTGTTGTACAAGCAATAGTCATTGCTCCAATGTTTAATTATAAATGCTCCCAAAAATATAATTTAGTCTTTATGTCACTTTATTGTTGCAGCAAAAAAGTGGGGCTGATAAATTTGTAATAACAATGATTTCTTGTAAAAGCTCTCCACTTCAAATATTTAGATTTGATCTAAGAGTTCATGATGCTGCTGTTTTTCTTGACAGATAAGATTCAATAAACACATTAAATTTATGATCCTTTATTTGAGCCAAAGCCCCTACTTAGGTCATCTGCATGGATTAGTTTAATTTCTTGCCAACACAAGTTCTCAGCTGAATGTTATGTTTAAAGATGGATCAGATTGCATTTTGTTGGATTCATGCCTATCATGAAGATGTTAATTGTGACAATTTATCAGAATTGCAAGTATCAATCTGACTGTTTTTATTTGTCCATAGTAAATTTGACTACTAACAATATTGAGTAATTTACTTTTTATGATAGTCATTAAGTGAAAACCTCTTGCATACACTATTATAAATTCTAAAAACCCTTCTTAGGTTTTGAAGCAGAAAAATCTTAAATATTTATTTGATGTTTCTCTTTTTACCTGCAGAGATTTCGAGAAGCCCATTAGTGATACCGACTTTCGTTGAAACTGACAGAACTGTTAGGTTGTCTCCAACTATCACTACCATCAACATTGTTGAAAATGGTGAAACAAGCAAAATGGACTCTCCTAAAATGGCTGTCTGTCCTGAAAAGGAATCGCCCAAAGTGGAGCTGAAGTTGCCATTGTCAGCAAACTCTTCCTCTTCTACTTCTCCTTTGATACCAAACAAATCTCTTAGACGCAGTTTTGTACCTGCCATTCCGAGTCCTTTACTTCAAGACATTACTCCAAATCAAAGAAACAGGAGGAGCCACAAATCATTTGTGTTTTCAGGTGTAAACAGTCCCAGGACACCAGTGCAAATAGCTGAGCAAAACTCAGAAGCAGAAACTGATAAAGAACCAGCAGAAAAGATTTTGGTGCTCCAGACCCCACCTTTAAGGTGAGGGATTCACTTTTCCTTTTTTGCTTTACACCAGTTTTTTCCACAAATCTGTTTTTATATACAAATATATAGTTGTCTTATTTGCTGACAATCAAATTTTCATTTTTGGTACGTGGAATTCAGCTTATTCAACAACCTGGCTGAATTTGTTTTTTCAAATTATAAAACATTCCATACGACATCAGTGGCCATTTTTGTTGATATATTTATTTCATATATGAATAGTTCTCTTGTCTTCTAATCAAAGTACAAATATAAATTCTTGAGTTTATTCTTGCATTCATAGAAATAAAATGAATTTGTCGAAAATTTAGCAAATTTTCACTTTTACAATCATGAAATAAACCTTTACAAATCCCCCAAATGGTTGTGACTTTAAGAAAATATTCACATTGTCCACATAAAGCTTGTAAATCTTACCAGCATGAATTGAAATGTTATTATTCTTAGGGCATATTTGACACGTTTTGAAGAGGGGGGGATGTATTCAGCAAAAAAATCAAATGGTTTTTTTTTTTTTTTTTGTTTTTTTTCCACTGCAAATTATTCATTGCATCATATCCCAGTACTTTACAAAAAATTAGAGTTGATTACAATTTATAGTTTGTAACATAAACCGTAGATTTGTCTGTGAAATATCATTACATTATTGTTACATAATCATTAATTTTTTTTTTTTTTTTTTTGTCAAAAGCATTTTATTTTTGATTGTATATTAATTCAAAATATTCCTTTTTTATAAGCTTTTAAAAGCAATGGAAAAGAGAGGTAATAATGCATAAACGAAATAGCTCCAATTTGTTCAATTTAGGAAACTTAACATTTTTGCGAAAGTATTCTAAAATGCTGCCAATAACAAAGTGAAAAATACCTGACAAATTGAATATCGTGTCAAAATTTATATTTTTATTTACCTAACTAAAGACATGATTATCAATGTTTCCATAAGACTTGATATTTCCTGTAATAAATTCTTAATAAATATTATTATTTTATTCAAGTGTGAGGTAGTTTTACATTTACAATTCCTTATGGCTAACCATGAAAAGAATTGATCAAAACTGCCTACAACTTTTAAGTGTGTATTGCTGCAAAATGTTGGATATGCCCTTCCTCTGCTGAACGCGCCCTTTAATGTGTAAAGGCAAATGACAAGGGGGTGGGTTATTCACACACACACACACACACACACACGTGTGTAACAAAAATAGCGAATGTCAATCTAACGTTTCTTTTATTTTATTAAAGCTTTGTCAGAGATTGAGAGAAAACCGACAAAAAGACAGAAACTGTTTTTTTGTATGTTTTCTCAATCTCTAATCAAGCTTTAATAAAAGTGAATTATTTTAGATTTGTATACGTTTCTTATTTCTTTATCCTGTCAGGTTCCAATCCATATATGATCTGCATTTGATCTTTTTAACTTTTTTTTTTTTCTCAAATATTATGATTTGATTTACTTCTAGGCGCAGTGGCCGGTTAAGATCAGCAGCTTCATCTCCCAGTGCAATCCAGACTCCAACCCATGAATTGGTTATGCAATCCTTCATAAAGAATATGCTAAGTTCTGAATCTTCTTCAGAAGGTAAAGGTGTTGTATTTTTTTTTTTAATCTGGATTCCTTACTTGTATGGATTTCCTTACAATCTTGTTCATATGGATTTCTTCTATGCATTTTGATAAAAGTAGCAATGACTAGAAATGGTGAAGGTAGCCAAAGTCTGCCAAGCAATTTTTCTCTAAACAAGAGATTGTTGTAAGCTGTTATTTTTCAGAACACTATTACAATTCAAGGCTTTGTTCGGATAACAGAATGAATAGCTTTACTTTTTATCACCTGATCTTTTAATTATTGATCTATATATCTGATTTGATGTTGATACTACTAACAAAGGAGAAATTCTCAAATTTGAGTTGTTAATGTTATCCGAAGATTTATAACCTCAAAAAAAAACATGTTTAAGTTTCCTTGATTTTTTTTTTTTTTTTTTTTTTTTTTTCTTCTTTAGAATCCCAAACTTCAAAGGATGAGAAGTCCTCTACTCATTCTCCAGATCCAGCACCTGTTTTCACACCCCTAACAGATGTGATGGATAATGAAAATCTAACTTTGAGACGTAGAAGCAGGGGACGTAAAACTATGGGTTAGTGTTTCAATCCTGTCTTACGATTTCTTTCATGCAGATACTGTTTGACATACATTAGTTGACATTTGGAAAACCTAAAGAGAATGACTTTCATTGTATATTAACAAATAGGCCTTGATTTACTTAAAATTATTTTAGATGTGTTTTCTTTTTGATTAATGCTCTAAAAGGATCAGATCTATTCTTTTGCTGTTAAATGAAACAAAAGGAATTCAGAGTGTAAAGAATGTTTTCCAAAATGGTGTGGAATAGAAAAAAAAACAATTGTAGGAAGATTATGGATAGCAACATGACCTGATAATATTGGTAGCTCAAATGGCTGTCATCACCTGACTTTGTTCCATAGTTTAGAATGCAAGTTCAGGTAATGCTCAAAGATTTGAACTCTGAAGTTAGATTAAGAGTTGCTATTCATTGTATTGCTGTTGAGAATTCTGCTCAAGAAATGTACTGACATTTAAAGCATTTGGTTCTTTTTGATACACTTTTATGATCCTTAATTAAGGGCTATTTGAATCATTTTCTGTTTGTTTCATTACAAAGCAAATAATTCAGAATGATTTGACATTTCTCAATTTGAAAAATAAAAAAAAATCTATCAAAGATGGTTTAAAATGTTTTTAATTTAGTTTTGTAAAGTTTTAAAGCATTTTTCTATGTCCAGTAAATTTTTTTTCTTCAGAATCCCAAATAATCAATACTTCTCAAAAACGGCGCCGTTCTTCCAGATTAAGCAGGAAATCAATCAGTTCTTATGAAGAATTAACAACTAGTGATGGTAAAGAAAATGCTGCTCTTCTCTCAATTCAAATTGACTTGCCTCCACCTTCAAAAGATGGCAATTTAAAAAGGTTAGCAAATTGCTTTTTTTCTTGCTTTTATTTACAAATCAATAACAGACATCTGAATAAGCTGGAATATGGATTTTTGTTTATTAACTTAAGTTTTTCTGAATTTAAATCTTCCAATTTGCTATTTTTTTTTTTTTCTTCTTTTACAGGAGAAATCGAAGAAAAAAATCTGTTGCTTTTTCTGATCCAGTTTCTACTGTGACGGTTGCTACTGGTTTGTATTCAGTTTTTCTAAATGATTTTAGATTTCTTTTACTCTAGATTTCTTTAGTAACGAAGTGTTGGCACTTCCTAATTTAAATGATTTTTGTCTTTAATTTTCTGTTCACTAAATGTTTTTCCTTCAGCAAAACTATTTAGTCAATGTTTTCAGTGTGAGCACCTCCACTTCAAACTGAAAATGGTCACTTCTTGCAATGGAATTCAGTTTTCACAAATCCAAATTTTATATTAAATTCTACAATTTAAAAAGACAATCACTTTCTACTTTCTGCAGGAAATAGTCTTTTTTAAAAAAAAAAATATTTTAATTCTCATTATTGCTAGGATGCCCATTTTTTTTTTTTTTTTTTTTTTTTTTTTTTATAAAACACGTGTTTTTATAAGTTGTGGCATATAAACTCCCCCCCCCTTCCTACTCACATTTTGTTCATTGTCTGGAAGATGTTATTTTAACATGCTTTGTACAAATCTTAACTTGTATTGTTAATGTACAATGGTCTTAGTTTGACATTTTCTAAAAATCTTCTCCTAAAACGCCCAAAACATTGTGTATAACAGCCAAGATAAAAATGTTGGTTCAAATAACAAAGCTTATTGAAATTCCTCATTTCTAAATACAATATGTAAATAATTAATAAAATATTCTTCCTAAGAATTATTTACCTAAAAAAAGAGCAAGAGTTGATGAATGTATTGGTTGTTCTCATTTGGTGTGTCTTTAATTTCTATTATTTGACCATTTTTAGCAGACTCTCCATTAACAGTGCTGTGTCCAGTCAGTCCAAATGTTGACACAACTGAAGATCAACAAGCAGAAATCCTTAGAAAATCTGGAAGATTCCAGACTTTGAATGTTGGTTTCACTCCAGTTCGAGGCTCAGTAAGTAAAATGTTCATTTTTTTTCTCCCCCCCCACACACATTTCATTGTAGATGCCTCATTTTGGTGTATTTTCCTCCCCCTTCCCAAACTATAATTTACTTCCATGTTATAGAACCAGAAATAAATGTACCAAAAAAAGATGAATCTAAATTTCATAGAAATGACATTTCAATTGTTTGCAAATGTGTAAATACATAGAATTGAATGTTACTCTATAAAGTGAAGCATGTCGTTAAGTGTGTGGTGGGGATCATTGTTGTTCCTGCAACAATACTCAAAATCAAATTAAAATACTTCTGAAAATTCTTATGCAGTTAAAGCATATCGTTGAAGGTGACTTTAGTCATATTCAGATCTGTATAGTTGCATGGTTGTCTTTATTTGTTAGTAAGTAAAATAAATTTGGAAGTAATATTTCTAGAAAAGCTATATAATTTGAAAATGTTTTCATCCTGACTGTAAAACAAATGGTGACATCTGCATTTGTTTTTCTTTTTGCTTTTGAACTTCATTTGATTTCAGTCTTCGCTTTTGATGGCAAGAATATTCTAGATGTAATAAGTCTTTAAGTTCATTGAAATTTGTATTGTTTTTTTTTTTTTTTTTTTTTCATTTTATTTTTCTTTATCAGGGCACTCATTATCAAAACTGAGAAACTTTTTTTATTTTGCAAACTAAACACAGGTTTATAAATTTTCTCAGTCTCTCCCAACATTTTTATTGTGTTGGCTAACAAATCTTTTCTTTACACTGCAGAAAATGTTAAATTGGTCTTGGAAAAGTTGCTAAAAATTATGAAGAAAAAAAAAAATTGACTGTCATTAAGAAAATTTGGCTTTCATTCCCGTTGTTTATCAGATAATTTTTGCCATGGAAGAAGGATTAACAAATTTTGGTGTTGTGGATCATTACATGTTTGTTTAATCCTCAGTGTATATATCGCATGTGGTTGTAAAGTAATCTTACAAATTTAATATAGCCTAAAATATATATGCTCTATGTAAATACTTTTTCTTTCTTATAATACTTAATTTTTATTTCAGTATCTATTAAAAATCTTTTTTTTTTTTTTTTTTTTTTTTTTAGAGACCCAGTCTTTTTGTACACTCCACTAACAAATTCAAAGATTTGTGAAGTTGAACCAGATGCCAACTTGATTGCCTTCTCACCTTCTTGAACATCTATCATCTAAAGCTTTCACCCTTTTTTTTTTTTTTTTTTTTTCTTTACCAAAATAAGACTTGTATTTTAGTTTATTTATTTTTTCATATTGTCAGTGGTTCTAGAAGGCTCTTTCAACCCTGCAGAACTATTGCGTTTCCAACATAACCCACTGCATGTGCTTTTGATTTTTCTTCTGAACACTTGACTAATAAAAGAAAATATTTTTTAAAGTTTTAATGCTTGTAACATTAACCAAAAAGTTACTTTTAAAATGGAATCGGTCTGATATAAACTTTAGTGGAAAAATTGATACAAATGTTGGCCATTCTTCAATTTTCAAATCTTCTCACTGTCATGTTATATGCCTATGAAAAGAAATCATTTAATTTTTATTTTCATGCAATGGAGTTCAAATAAGAGCACCTTTTTTTTTTTTTTTTTTTTTTTTTATTAAATGTAAATTTTATGCTAGTTGCCATTGCCAAAGTTTTTTCTCTTCCTCTTCAGTTGTACTATACTGTTATTTCTTTGAGAGATTTGGATCTTCTGCGAAATTTAAAAGTAGTGCAATAGACGTAGATCTAAGCACCCCCTCATAGGGCACGAAGCCTAGTAACATAAATGGTCATACGTTTAAGTCTGGGTGAAGTATTAAATGGACAGGACAGAAACTAGATTCTTATGTTATGTGTGAGGATCTACAATCTTTCCTGCCTTGTTGATGGAGACCCTATATAAAATCTTTGCACTTCTCCACCATTTCAGTGTAATATTCTGGAGAACCAAAAATGAACTACAACTGTTTTGAGAGATTGGCTCTTGTTTTAGACATTGCAAAAAAATAGACCCAGTGAAATGAAGCTTCTTAAATTGAGATGGCATGTCTCTCAGTAGGTGCATCAAAGGTTCCACAGTATGGTGAACCCTACTCCATCTTTTGACATCAAGACACATTTTTAGTGTTCTGTTTAAGTGTAGTATGTTGTCATGTGATGGTAGTTCTGGAAACAAAAAAACCTCATTCTGACATGTTAAATTCCATCAAAGTTGTTCTCATAAATTCCTGTTCACACTAGTTAACATTACTTTTCATGGAAGTACATCTTTTATCCATTCAAGTTGGTAACAGTTGCCTTACTTAAGGGGAAACTCCATGCTGCTTCATTATTACAAATGTAATTAATAACTTTATCCCTATTGTTTTTATCTACCAAAAACTGCTTTGTCAATAGCCACCCCCCCCCCATCCCCAAGAAGTGTTTTGGACAACTTGATACAAACTGTTCTTGCTGTGGGGTGGGAGACATCAATAAGCAGCATATTCCTTTTAGCTGAACCCCTTAACAAAGGTTAAGGGGTACAACACTCCTGGATGGCTATTGACCCTGTATGAAAGTTCATGTACTTTCACAGATCCTGATGGGTACAAGAAACGCTGGCTAGAACAACAACTTTAGTTAATAGTAATCTGACCATGTGGTAGCTAGTCCTGGGTTACATGATACCAGCAACACTTGTAGAGTGACCTGATATAATGCGCTCCCTTTTGAGTATTCCCAACCAAGTAACTAAAACAGAAGATTCATGATATAGTTATTTCATTGAATATTTGTATTGTCAAAAGCTTTATCTTCATAGGTCCAAGAGACAGATTAAATACTTTTGCCATAAGGTCATATCTGATTGTCAACTCTGCTTTTCACTCTATTAGTGGGAATTTGGGTGTCTAAGTTAACTCTACATTTTTAATCTCAAGACTTAAAACTTATTCACTTGGCATATATATATATATATATATATATAAATATTTTTTTTTTTTTTTTTTTTTTTTTTTTTAGGAAACCAAATTTTTTATACTTGTAGACATGTATGAATTATCTGATTTGTGTGAGTTTTTAGGCACAATAGTTATCATGGAAAAGACTTTTTGAATAAAACTCTTGGCAAACTTGGACCTTCATGCCTGTTTTTTTTTTTCTTTTTTTTCTTTTTCTTAAAGCCGGTTTTTCCCTTGACACCACTTATTTTAACTATCTTCACTCCTTGACAATGTTTATTCTAAAAGACATGATCAAAGTGCATTGTACTTTTTTAACAAAAATATTAAGCACTAGTAGATTTTTCTCCAAGGAAAATGTTATATTTATAACACTCCAAAACACATACATTATTTATCATTTATATATAAAGAAATAAATAGGAAAATTTTATTCATTAATTTATGAAAATTTACTAAATTAAAATGAAACAACTATAAGGAAATCCTTATTTACCATGATTATAAAATTTGAATCCAGTGGCAATTAGCTGCAGTTTTGCCAACCTTTCCAATAAACAATCTAATTTAAAAAAAAAAAAAAGTCTATTTTTGTTGTCAATTCTCAAGAACAAAAATGTATTAATTTACTTCCATGTTGATTCATTACAATTCTAATCATTGCTTTTTCAGACAAAACTTTTTCAAGGAGCAAAAGTAGTTAAAATAGCAATGGCAATTTTTTTATTATATAAGTGGTTGCCTTACATTGTCTAAATTATATTTACCTAAATTACACAAATATCTTTAAATACTAAAGAGTAAATTTATTCAATAAAATTGCCATTGGCTGTCAACCATCCCCTCCAGACAACTTCAGGATCCCCTGCAACACTTCTGGATGATCCCCTTGATTAAGTTAGTGAATGCTGCCATAATCCTTGCTTTCATTTCATCTTTGATGTTACAAGGAGTTTTGTTGGTATCTGTCTCTGGAGTTAGGTGGTTGCAGAAATTGTCTGTCAGCCATAACTGGGTTCCCCTGCTTGTGTGGCATGGTACAGAGTGCTGTTATCAGACATAGGGTCGTCCAGCACCCACCCTCTTGACCCAGGACAGCATTACTTCCTCAAGGTACTTGATGTAAGCCTCCATGTTAAGTCTGACGCCATGTGGGAAGAGGAATGGAGGCATTACTAGTGATCACTCCGAACACTGATACTGGATATATCATCCAGCTCTTTCCGAATCCTCTACTCAGTTCACAGATTGACACCCAAACACACTGAAATGTTCATATTGGATCTTCCAAATTTCTGGCAGTGAATTGCATCATGGTTCTCTTTTTCACACAGTCAGTATAGTAGGGTCAGTCAGGCACTATGTAGTTGACAAAAAGAACCATAAATGCTTTTAGTATTTGAAAAAGTGTGGTGGTGGAGAAGTTAGTTTTCAACAGAAATTCTCTACATAACTTAGGTACCTCCATGAAATCGCTAAAAAAAGAGCATAGCTTGATGAAAAAAGACGCCAACCTTGCCGAAAACAAAATTTTATTGTCTAAATGCTTATGTTATTATTAAGAGGAAAGACCAAAGTTTTTTATTAATTATTTTTTAAAAATTTTCCTTCTTTTTTAGAACATTCTAAATTTTGATTAAAAAAAACTTTTTTCTATCTGTATCAGCGGAACTAGTAACTAACAGACAATTTTTAGCACGTTTTTTTTGGTATGACACATTAATTTGAAAAATCGTGCAAAAATAGAAATAATTATTGGATGTTAATGAAACTTTCAGGAACTATTCACAGATGATCGAAATTATTATAAATGTTTTTTTTATGAAAGTCATGGTAGAAATATTTTTTTTTAAATGTTTATTACCCCCCCCCCCAGTGATTACAATAATTAAAAAGCACAGGGCTTTGAGGAATGCAAATCATGTTTTGTTTTTTTTTTGTTTTTTTTTTTTTTAATTGGATACGCAGTACCTGAAAATCAGCTCTGAATTGTAACATACAAAACTCAATAAAACAAAGATATTATTTAATTTCAAATGCTTTTATTTGCTTTTAGTTGTTTTTATGAATATGGACAATTTTCTGAAAGCAAAAATTTTTTTGATGAAAATGAATTTTTTAATACAATTATTTGTTATTTCATTAATTATAATAGATTTTACATTTAAGTTGTTAAAATATTATAAAATTAGTTAAAAGCCGCATCGGCTTTCATAAGTGTCCTTATCAGATAGATCTTTTTTTTTTTTTTTTTTAGCGCGTTGTAAATTGTATCATTTTGACTAATCAGATCCCCAGTAATTAAGAAATGTAATTTTGTGCTTATAATCGAGCTGTAATTATAAAATATGGAAGACCAACCAGAATATAATTAAGTTGCGTTATTTGAGTTAAGCATTGTTCTCACTGTTAAGGCCTTTACTTTTTGTAAAACACGTGTTGGAGAAGTTAATTTGATTTTTCAATTTCAACTGAGAAGGGTACCTACAAGTATCAGTATCATCTTATGAAATTTATATGATCTTATTTTTATATTAATCTCAGTTATGACATTTTTCCATAAATGAAATATCAAAATTAATAATAAAATGAATACAAATAACAGTAAAATGTAATAAATGTACATAAAATTATAGTATTTTATGTACAATTCTGATAAAATTTCATAAGAAAGGTACCTATAAATTAATTAGATACCTTTCTTAAGAAATATGAAATTTAATGTCACTCTTAACAGTTTTATTTTAATTTCTTTACAATATATTTCCCATAAAGCATCATAAACGTAAAGGTGAAAGCTAAGTACAAAAAAAAAAAAAAAAAAGACTGCTGAAAGTTTTTCGTTAAAAATAACGGTAAATAATTTGTTCACGTAAATGTAAATTATTTCCACTTTTCTCCTTCCATTAGAACAAATTAGCCTTATGGAATTAAATAAATATATCATTCATCACATGTCAAGAGGCAAAAAGTTTATGACCTGCTTTGTTTTATTTTCAAATTAGCTTAGCTTTTGTGCCAAAAAGATGTAAGTTTGGTTCAAAATATTTTAAATAAACATTATAATTTCTGATTTTCTTAAAATAAGTTTTGAAAAAATGATAATTGATATTTAAAAAAATTTCAAAGTCAGATTTCCAGTTTTTTAACGAAAATTTCGGACGTGCTAGGAACGATTAAAAAATGAAAAAAAAATACCCCAAAAATACTTTGACCCTTCCTCTTAATAACAAACA